TGCTCTGACGACTGCGCTACCGAACCCCCACGCCCTCTTTCCTGTCGAACTCAGAGATGAAAAGTGCTTGCTCTGACGACTGCGCTACCGAACCCCCACGCCCTCTTTCCTGTCAAACTCAGAGATGAAAAGTGCTTCTCTGACGACTGCGCTACCGAACCCCCACGCCCTCTTATCTGCCATGCCTTCTTTCCTGTCGCGAGAATTCTACACTTACCTCAAAATCTGAGTCATTAAAACCATACATGATATTCCAGCCTAACATTAAGAACTTTTTACGTTCAAGAAGTACACTGTGGAAGAAACACAGGGCGAAAAGCAATTTCTTGTATTTGTCTTGCTTTTGACGACGAGTAAACTGTTGTTCTGTCACCAATTGATATAGACGTTTCATGTTTGCTTTCAATCCCTGAAGTTTAAATAAATATACGAGTATTAGTATTGACCACTAACCTTCTTTGACAATGTAAATCATTCTGTTTGTATGTTTTGTTGTTTGGCGAAATCTTTGCCGCCAATCTCGCCGAAATCTTTAAACTTAAGCCCTGTTTAAACGGATCCAACATTGTTGGGCCAACATCATCCAACATTGTTGAAATAATGGCTCAAACGGCTTCTTTTTCAAATATTTTGTCAAGACTAGGTTTAGGGTTTGAGTAAAGCTTATCTAACCAAAAAGATTTGAAAGAGAAGCAGTCATATCTAGTATAGTAACATTGTTGGATGATGTTGGTCCAACAATGTTGGATCCGTTTAAACAGGCCTTAAGAAGCATGCTATCGAACCTGGATCGTAAAATAAGCACGTTAAAGTAAATCAGTTGCACATTCTTCGCGAAAGAGCCCAATTGTTTTAGATTGGTCACGTTTGAGCAATGTGCGTATCGTTTTGGTCACAATATCAAACTAAAATTGAGACTTTTATTTCACATACTTTAACACCACACAATTCGCTTACATTGACCATGATAGGACATGTACATCTTTACCTTGGGTGGTTCTGTGGTCATCTTAATTCCAACTTGAAGTATAGAAATGGGGAACTCTGGATGAGGACTGCTGCTCAGCCACAGTCGAAAGTCAGGATGGGGACTTTCTACTTGTAACTGTTCCACTAGTTTATCAAGTTGTGGCATCCAACTCAGAGATAAATGACAGTTTGCCAGGAATACCCAGTTACCCTGTATTTAATTTGAGTAAATAGTATGTTTAATAAATGAGTCAGATTTCACGATAAGTAAGAGACCAGGGGCCAGTTGTATAAAACTCTTAATCACTTTTTTAATCACTATTTTGTAGTTAAATAGTGATTAACTCTCAAATAGGCGCTTCTTATTGGATGACGTTTCCACTAACTATAGTTAACTTTAATATATAGGTTTCAGTAATTAAGCATTATACGGTAGAAAAAGGTGATAAACTTTAGATCAGGTTCACTATCGTCTGCTGCACGACAGTATAGACAGGTTCAGATTTTGACTTCCGCTACATTACCATTAATCAATCACATGCATTTCCTCTACCCGATTACCCAATCAAATGCGTATTAAGCCTGTGAGAGGTAGCGGAAGTTTTAGATGTGAAGTTGCAAAGTAGCTTCCTTATACACTCGGGAGACACCGTTTATATAATTAGTATAGCGAAAAACGGGATGAAAGGAAGAAATTGGCGAGAATTCAAGAACGTGCGGGATGAGCAAAATCTGTGGGAAAACAATTTTACACCTTGAGCAACTGTCTTGTGGACACAGTACTTAAACAACAGTCATTACCTCTTTGACACCTTCTTTAATCATTCTGGTTGCAATCGGTGCTTGACCTTGACCAAGTGAAAGTGCATGAAAACGTTCACTCATTCCACATTTCTCAGCAAGTTGAATTAAAGCACTAGTGGGATCCTACATCATCCAAATAAAATAAGACCAACTTAAATTTAACAGTTTCCGTTGGTACTATAAGCGTACATCTGTGGCACGACATTATTGTAGTTGTTATAATTGTGAGTTGTATATAGTTTCCATAAATTGTATTTGTTGTTCGACATGAATAGAGTCCTGCCTTTTCATATTGTGGTTTGAAGTGCTCATTTCGATCCATTCTCAGATCAACTGTCCGACCCCAAAACAACCTTAACGAAGCATGAGGATGTTTGACTTACCACACCAGGAGAGAGAACAAATATAAGAGGACTTCTTGTTGTTGAGTCTTCTACCACGGAACTCATATCTAACACTGGAGGTTCAACAAACCTGCACAAAGTAAATATCATACTTAGGATTTTGAGTTGAGGTGACATTAAAAGGATTCTGCGACGTTTTATACAGACAATAGACGTCGATTTTCACAAAAACGCGAATTTATCGCACTGATGATCAAAATGACTGACAAGATCGACACACTGCATGCTAATAGTGAATTGCAAAGTTTTAAAAGAACCGCTCCAAAGCCGCCAAGCAAAAATCCCGGTTATGTAAAACTCTTATACTACTTTCTAACTATCTATTTTGTAGTTATAAATAGTGGTTAACTCTAAAATACACGATTCTCTTGGTTAACTTTCGCACTTATTATATTTTAACTATACTTTTATACAACATGCATGCTCCAGATGTAGTAGCAAAATTTCAGTTATATGTACAGCTTCCATCGTATTTGCTCAACTTGTATAAGATTTTGTACTTTATACTACTTTTACTATATTTAAATATCTTGTTGAAAATTAGAACTACTGTGTATAATTGTGAAACACGCCTATTTTAAGTTTTAAAATTAGTCCAGGTATTCAAAAAATAAACGGCTTCAAAATTTCATGAAAACAAAACAATGTGATTTCAATTATCTCAACATGATATCATTTTTTGTTAATAATTCAAGCACGTTAGGTGAAAGAACGGCCCGGAAATAAGTAAAACACACACCAAATCATTGTGGGAGAATGGGTTCAGGGTGAAGTGAACCAATTATATACATTATACTCTCAAACTCTGGTCAACCCAAAGACTCATTAAGCCTTATGTTTTCATCCCGCAGGCGTATATATAAGACCTGCTAGGAGAGACTGAATGCTCCATAGGAGCTCTGCCCGAACGGTAGCGACCCCCTCTGACATAGACCTGAACCAAGGGGTGATAATCCCCTTGGACAGTACCTACGATTCGACCGATTATATTTACATAAATAACCTGAGTCTATGGGCCTGAAGTTGACCATTGGGAACACTTTAAATACATTAAATACTTCACTTACTTTGATCCAAGGTTGTTGATGATAAATGAAGTTGCAGTAAATGACACTCTATCTGGTCTTAAAGATCGAACAATCAACATTCGTTGAAGTTCATTACACGCGTTCTCCCACTCCCCTGCGAACAGAAACGAAATTCTATCAAGTAATAAATCAGGCACCAGTGGGAGTCTATCAGAGTAACTTGAAATAACGAAATGTGTGTTGAAAAAAGGCGCTAGTATTCAGAGAGAAATTCAATACGAAGGTTGAGTTATTTTATGGACTTTATTACCGTGGTATCAAGATACGGTTTCTAAACCTTGTGCAACACTAGGAAAAGATGTCTCCTAATCAACCGCAAAATACAGAGTCTGTAGTTGTGTTTGCATTGTGTATATTCAACATAACAAATTATATAGGTAAATTATCAGTTGTTTAAAACAATACTTCTCACAAACTCATTAATAATTTTAAAAAATAAGAATTTTTCAGCTGGTGAAACGTTACTTTGAAAAAGTGGTAAAAAACCCAAATGATATCGAAAGAAATATATCAATTGATATCAAAAGCAGTATTATTATCTGATTTTCAAACATTTCGAAGTTGGTTAAAAAAATCGGCGTTATGGGGAATCTACTAATAACCCGTTCACCCTGTATCATTAATTATACATATTACATATTAACCTGGCAAAGGTGTAGTTTCGGGCTCTGCACTAGTGAACCAGATATTCCAATCACGTGGGTACTGTTCAAATGACGTCACAATTCCATGGAAATTAGGTAACCTTAAAAATAAAAAAATTGAGTAAAAAAAGCAGCTACTGCAAGTGTACAAATATACTTCCTTGTGTACGTACTTGTCAAGTTCAGTTAGGTTATCCCAAGCAATGTCTGTGAGCCATCCTGGACAGGGATTATCAATCTGTTCTTCTCGATCAAGAACCTGAAACATATTATACTTGTTGCAGTGAATTATATAGAGAATAATACATGGGTGCTTGGAAATATCAGATTTATTTCGAGTGTTGAACTTGATATCTCACGAGTGAGCGCAGCGAACGAGTGAGATATCATGTTCAACACGAGAAATAAATCTGGTATTTCCAAGCACCCATGTATTTTTATGTTTATTATATAAAGGACAGTCTTTGAAAAGCGATAATTTTTACAGAAAAGCGAGAATTGAAAAGCGAAAATTTTCACATGTGAGATTATCATAAATAATCTCACATGTGAGATTATCACTTTTATCAGTGCTCGAAATCTCTTTCAAAAACTCATTAATAATTCATGAAGCAATTATCCAATCTTGAGTAAGAAATTAGTCACGTGCATACGTTTTTATACCAGCTAAAGAACACTTTAACAAAAGACCATTGTTATGCAAACTATATAAAGATTTTTATATAAAGATTTTTATATAAAGGTTTTTACATAAAGATTTTTATAGAAAGATTTGACTTATGCAAACGTTTTTGAAGCCATTTAAAAAACTCGCAGGTCGTGTTTTATTAGGTCTAAAGCCACTCGCGCTGCGCGCTCGTAGCTTTAAACCTAATAAAACACTCCTGCTCGTTTTTTTACTAATAGTACATAAAGCACTATACTTTATATAATAAATACAAGTAAGTGTCATGTTGCGTTACATTGAAGGGAATATTTCTATATCCAAATGAAAATTTCCTATGCACAATCTATAATCAAATTTATTTCATTTCAAATTAATCGTGTTTTGTTTTCAAAACAGAAGTTTTGCGAACAGTAGGTCAATTGCATCTTGAATTTGTATGACAAATAACCTACCACTCCACCGCGTAAAAAGAAATTGTATTCGTCCATGTTAACTTTTCCAGCTGCTTCAAGAATTTTAGCACACATTTGAAATGAGAACAACAATTTGTGACGTTCAAATAATCCTCTGCATGTGAACCTGAAAGAATGAATGATTGATATGTTGAAGAAATAGTGATAATATTAAAAGAGAGCTTTGATATCATTCGAATAATTACAAAAAAATAAAGTAGAGAAACAATGAAGCCAAATGATACAATATGTTGTGTCAACAAATTATTTTTAATAAAATAACTCATTAATAATTCACGAGGAAAATACAAAAGAAATGAATGTTTAATCAATGTTTGTAAATCGGATAAAGATTTGTCCTGATTTACATAAACTTCAGCTTTAATTTTCTCAGCTTAGACAATGTTTATTTTTAAAATTACTTCGCCAATAAACTCATAAGATGGATCGTTTTTTAAGTACGATAAAACATTATTCGCATCCGATCTGTATCTGATATACAAACTTCGCCTTCGGCTCGAGTGTGTACAGTATATCAGATACAGATCGGCTGCTCATGTTTTATCTAGTACTTAAACTGTGAAACAATTTGCAACGAGGATCGGTTATTGAAATCTCGAACGAAATTTGAATGGTCTGTGTCAGCGTAGGTAGTAGTGGCATTAATAAGAAAGCTTCGTATTGATAGGGATAAAGCATAGATATCTTATATACACCAGATAGCGCATCTCTTTTAGTAAAATTGAAGCCAAGAATATTCCAGCGGTTACCCCCATTTGAATAGATGGCGGTCATGTTGGAGTTTCCCACTCGCTAATAAACGCTTAAAAAACAACAATAACTTTCATCATTTGAATAGTTTAAAAATGTACTTGGAATAGGTGTACCTTAATATTTAAGTTCCGTGTTTAAGAAAACATACGAATCTTCTCATTTCATGGGAATATCCTGAGTCTGCAATCACGGCTTCAATTTTTGAATTGTGGAATAATTAGATGCACTATCTAGTGTATATAAGATATCTATGGGATGAAGTACGTACTACCTGAAAATACAATTCTCCTTGTATTTTTGGGTAGTTATATCTCTGTCAACCCGCAGCTTTCACATTCTTTGAATATTAACGCAACCTCCATCCAGAGGACAGCACTTTCAATTTGGTGTCTGTTAGTCAGAGGTTCGATCGTGTCACTTACTTGTAAACAGAATAAGTGTGGTATTCGTTGAGATTGTGAATTCGTATTTCCAGTTGTGGACTTCGTTGACTTTTCTCAATGGATAAATTAAATAGACTGATATAGGAATCCAGAGAAAACTGGTACATTGGATCAATTCGACCCATATCATTGAGTACAAAGAACAAGATGGAGGCACGTTGTGCGCATGGTCGGTAACCCTAGGAAAACGAAGATGGAAATGTTGGTTATCACATAAAAGCAGAATTGTATTACGGGGTGCATTACGTATGCCTTCCGACTAAATTTTCACCACAGTCGAATGTAAGAAAGAGTGCGTCCAGTTTGACCCTAAAAGATACACTGATCTCATTACCGAATACTGCAAGCTTTCGTCAGGCACTACGCTTACCTCATGACACTTACTACATGGACCTCTACGGAGGGACGTTTGGAACTGATAGTCTCAGAGTTATTCAGTGTAGATGAAGATAGTTTAGACTAAACATGATTTAATGATTTCTAACGATTATTTTGCATAATATGGAAGTTTGAAAGATTTAAAGAAAAGAACGATAGAAACACTAAGCTTAGAGGTCGTCTATATTTAATTATCAACATTTTCACAAACGTACAGAGAGCACTCTTTTTTCGACCCTCAAATGTTGAAGTTGATGATTATGGATGCCCCCTTATGTAATAATCATTGTTCCGCATATAGATGCCCACGATGAACGTAATTACATGTTAATCAAACCTACTTCACGTGCTGCGTCGATCTTAATTTCCGTCTGTTCACTGACTTGCAACTGTTCACCAATCTCTTGTGATGTCTGTTTTGATGAATTTAACGTGTTCACCAACTCCTCGTCATCCAGCAAAGATCCTTGGGCAGTTTGTAATAATCTACGAATATTAAAAATTAATAATACTTAGAACTCAGTAAATAATAACAATGCAGAAAATAGAAAACCTGACGAGAATGGGGTTACGTATGTTAAGATTGATTGTCAACTGGGTTTTCACTGAAAGACATTAGGAAATCAGAAGAAGACGCAGAGAAGGTGATGGAAGCAAGGGTGAGATGGCGTAGAAACGTAACAAAGGGAGATGATGTAGAGACGAAGAAAAGATGGGGTTTGTAAAAGTTCAGAAGATCAAATATCAATAAGCAAATTAACCATAAGGGCAGAATAAGATGATAGACAAGAATCCCAGGATACGAACCAGTTGGATTACAGAAGAATATGAAGAAAATGAAGTGAAAAATTAAGTTTAATAAATAAATAATATTGAAAGAAAATTGTTTGGGGGAAACGAACATGAGAATGACATTCATGAAACTAGACCAGCCATAACCTATATATATATAGTACCTCAATATTTGATCTTCCAAATCTTCCAATTTTTTCTTTCCCGCAGCAATGTTGATAACCAAGTTATCTTTCTGTTCCTCTAGTTCAGGACGTTCTTTTCGTACAACAATCCCCAACAGCTGAGCTTCGAGACCTACATATCATCAAACAGACATACGAGTCTTATCAAAGGTGTATAACGAAGCTTGTGCATGTGTGTTATTGGGATTATGTCAATTTTGTGGGACATGTCAATTCTGTAAATTAGTGTGTCTATGGATGCGAATCAGGGCTTGAATTTTATCGCGGCAATTGCCGTAAATTGCCGTAGAGGGAGAACAAAATGCCGTGGATCATTGCGGCAACGACGGCAATTTTTTGCCGTATAGTGTAATTTTTATACTATTCACTGTTACTATTTTGATACTTGAATTCAGATGTTGATCAAATCATGCGTACATTACTATTTTAGTCTCAGTTTTCTTCGGAAAAAACCCCACTAAAGAAATATGTAAACATGTTTCTAGCTTATCAACAATCCAAAGAAACAATATTTTTTTTTTTTGAAAAAATGCCGCGGAAACTGCCAAAATTGCCGTAGACAGCTGTTACATTCTACAGCAATTTTTAACGCCATTGCCGTCGATTGATTTCAGGGAAATTCGAGGCCTGATGCGAATAGCTTTTTAATGCAGGTGGTTCACTAGTGGTAGCTGGTTTTTAGGCAGAAGTACATTAAATATCCCATTTCCTTACCTTAACAGGGAAGGCACCTCACGCCCTAATCTGTGACCTTACTTTGTCTAATTCTAGACGAATTCACTTGTAAGGCGAGACTCTTGAGGAGCCAAACTGGAAAAGAGACCACGTTCATTTTTGTGGCTTCTCAGATGCCCCTATCATGTTGAAGGCCGGGAGCAAGTTACAGTACTCCTTCTGTGGAGTTTGGCCCCGTCTTAGCGGCTCTGGGGTATGCTAACTTACATTTGAATGATGTGTTATGCACTTCACTTGGTTGAATGCACCAAACCCAGCATTCCAACTTTAAAAATATTTTAGTAAAAAATCCCAGAATATACCTTGCTCTTTCACAGCAAAGTTTACAATCAAAGCTTTTGTTGAGATCTCAGGAGTATAATGAGGATTGCTAAGTTTTGTTGTGATATAGAATCTGAAGTCTGCATTGTACTCGACTTCCTTGTCACCAATTTTGATATATAACGCATTGCCTAAACAAAAACAAGGAATAATATTATAATTGACTAATAATACGTAAGCCATAAGTAGGATTATTGACTGCACTAAATCAATACGGTATTCTAGCTTTCTTGGTGTATTGTGACTACTGTGACACGTATGGACAGGCCAATTAATGCACAACAACTCAGCTCTACTTGCGTGGGCAGATAAAATCAGGAATTTTAAATAGGATATAGAAATCTGGTATAGAAATCATAAGCAACTGAATGATAGAAAGATTGTATGCGTAACTACAACGTCTGTGTTCGCCCGCACTGGATACGATATTGGTATCACAGTAAAGACACAAGACTGGACCACTTCACTTGTCCTTCTTACGCAATCTCAAATTCATTAATAATGCATGAGGTTAATGCCTCAATTCGGTTAGTTAATATTTAAGAGAGCTATATATGAGACAGTAAAGCACACACAATGTTGTGGGAGAAGGGTTGTTGGGGAGAAATGCTCCGAATATATACTTTCAACTGGTCAAAGTGTCACCCCACAGACTCA